GAGTGGACAAGAGATTTGTGTTGCGCTGATACAGGGGAACTTTGAAACACTTTGTAATCATATTTGGGATAATATAAGTGGTGGAACTCGGTTCTGTCCTCCTCTACCTTTGTCTAATGTGTGAGATTCGTGATCACTGTGTGTGAGGATGATGCATGACATGTGCACTCTTGCGTGAGATGGTCCCCATGACCCATGCAAAATTTGGTATCGGAGCTGATGCTCGCTACTCTCATAGCGCTGGTCTGATCTTGACCGGCGAGAAGAAGTGGGGATGGAGGAATAGCGAAGGAGGGAGGAGGAGAAGAAGAGTGTTGATAGCGGGGAAACAGGCCGAAGAAGAAGTGGCAAAGTCTACTTACCTGGAGCGTGCGGAGCGTCGTGGAGCACCATCGGCGGTATCTTCAAGAAGAGAGAAGCACCTCCTTTTCCCTGAACCTGCATGCATGTGTGTGTCCCCTACCTTCTCTCTCTCTGACCCTCTGAAGGTGACTGCTGCTGATCTGGTCAGGAGTCGAAGTTTGGATCTGGGGTTTCATAGCTGTCAGGTTTGGGCCGCCAGAGTCTGATGACCCAAGTGTGATGTGTTAGGGACTGGTCTCACTAAAGTAGGTGGTCCAGCATTCTGCGAATAGGAGTAGGTCTCTCTCCTATCCCTCTTGATAGGCAGGCTGGGTATCGTCATCAAGAACCAAGGATCGATGTGGGAAGTGGCTATGAGCCACGTCAGATAGCATGTACCAGGCAACATAAGGATGATATTGAGCATCTGCAGGGCCTGTTAAAACCCGAAAGAAAGAAAAGGGTATACGAAGTATCTCTGCCTGGGTGGGTAAGTGAACCCATTGCCACGTCAGATAGCATGTACCAGGCAGCATAAGTTAGTACAAAAAAAAATAAAAAAATAGACATATTCAAGTTCATTGTAGTTTGATCTATTGTTGATTGTATGCAACACCTTCTACCATTAAACAAAAAAAAAAAGGAAAAGGAAAGTATAAGTACTCCATTACCGCAAGTCAAGACCCAGTCTGTAAGTGGGATAGTACCTTGGTGACCTGGCGGAGGATCTCCTGTGCCGGCAGTCGTCATGGATGACTATCCCATCCAGGGCCTGTTGGCCCTTTCTGTCTTGTTGGTGCCGCTGTTCCGGCTTATGTTTCCACTGGGGTTCGGGCGTGTGTGCACGTCCCGCATGCTGATGCGGTCTGGAACAGTGAAGCCTGGCCCTACACCTGCGGAACAGGCTGAAATAGACCGCAGGCTGACAGAGAAGAAGAAGAAGAAAGAAGCAAAGAAAAAACAGAAAGAAGAAGAAGCCAGAAAGAAGATGAAAGAGAAAATGGAGAAAGAGTTAGAAGAAGAACTGAAGAGTATAGAAGAAGAAGAAGAAGAATTAGAAGAGGAAGATGAACATACATTGTAGCGACATCGTCATGACATCCCTGAGAGTAGTAGCCGACTTCCCGTTGAGCCGTTGGATTGGGGGGAACGGTACTACTATTCCAGCGAGCCATTGAAAGAAACTGATGCAGAGCGAGATGCATTCGTCGCCAAGTTGGCCACTGTGACAGACACCGTTGAACGTAACCTGCTGATGGCAGAAAAAAAGGCTGAATTGAATGCCAGATTGTTAGCTTCCAGACGGCAAGAACTAGAGGAAAGGAAAAGATTGCAGGCTGAAGGGGAGAAATTGCAGAAAGCTCTAGAAGCGCAAAAGGAAAATCCCTCTGAAATCGAAGCACAACTTGCTCTCCTCAAGGAAACCGTCCTCAACACAAGGCAAAATATGAAGTTAATGCATCAGACTCTCCAAAGGGTTGAAGCGCATCGAGTTGAATTCGAAAACGTTTGGAATAGCTTTGTGGAAAAGTCAGCCAAGGATGTTGACCAACATGTGCAAACTTACATCCAGGCTTTGGACGAACATATTAATAAAGTCTTCACCCCGGAAGTCGTAGAGAAGATTGTAAAGGGAGTTGGAGGCGACAACGGAGATGGGGATGGCGATGACGATGATGATAAGAAAGGGAAGAAGAAGATTGGGGATACAAAGGACAAACTTCCTCAGGAAACCGGGCAAGTTAACAAGATAAAGCTTAAGCTGTCGTGGACCTACAATGGAAAGAAAGATGAAAGTGTGTTGCACTGGGCGGCGGCGATTGAAACTTACGTGTACGGGCAGTGCATTCCTTATTGGGACAAGGTATTGATGGCAACTTCCTGCATGGGAGGCGATGCCATGAGCTTCGCCATCTCGATGCAAAAGGAGGCGGGATGCAGCTCTATGGTAGAGTATTCGCAGCAAACGCGAATCGAAGATTTTCTTAAGTTAATAAGAGAAAGATTTGAGGACAAAAACTTGGCAAGACGTACGGAAATGTTGATCCTCAACCTTCCTGACAGGAAATGGAAGAGTACCTTTGCGCTAAAGGCAACTATGGATTAACTATTGCTATGCCCTGATCACGGATTGACGCCGACCCAAATCTTAAACAGTTTTTCACGACCACTCCCGGATCCCCTAAGAACACAACTCTATCCCCGTACCAAGGAAGAGGGGATGACAAATGAGAAGTTCGACAAGATCGCCGTAGATCATGCGGACTTCCTCGCTGAAGCAAATTATTGCCATTACTGGAAGGATCTGCAAGCGGGTAAGAGATGGCAAAACCGCACCATCTCAGGGTCTATACCTGGGAAAGACAGTCTCCTTCTAACCTTTGAAGAAGGAGGCGCCGATACCATCTCCTGGGATCAGGTAGATTATGGTCTCGATGAACCCAACAGACCGGTAGCTCAGGAGGGGAGTTACGCGGCTGTTGTAGCCCGTGGGGGAGGGCGTCAAGGAAGAGGGCGTGGCCGAGGAAGAGGTCGCGGCCGCGGTGGACGAGGATTCGGCACCCAGAGGGGTGGTGGTGAAGGAAGCCACTACGTGGGAGGAAGGGGAAATGGTCCCTCATACGGTGGCCGTGGTTCTTACTCCACCTGGGGTAGAGGAAGAGGCTCATGGTACAACATGTGGGATAAGCCATACCCACCTCATCCAGGCCTGCCGGAAGGAGACCCTTGGAAAGAATTGGGAATCACAGAAAAAGTTTGGGCCGAAAGGAAGAAGGTCGATCAATGCCTCAAATGTGGGGACCCCGACCACATTGTCCCCTATTGCCCTGACTATATGGGGGCAAAAGGGAACAACCAGTAGAGGTGTCAGTTGCCTCTATCGGGGCTTCGAATGTTGAAAAATCAGAATCCTCCCATTCGAAGGCCCCAATGGCAGAAATTGAAGAGGAAGGAAGTCTCCATCTAGTACAGTGTCCAGAGGTGGCAAATGTATGCATCTCTCTAGATGGATCCCTCGCTGGCGTGGGTGATCAGTTGGCCGCTTGTTGCCAAGCCTGGACTGAAATGCGAAAGAAGAAAGGACAACTAATAATTGCAGATCTTGAAATAAATCGAGTCAGAGTAGGAGGTATGATAGACAGTGGTTCTACATGCAGTTACATTAGTAAGAAGGGTTTGCAAAAATTGCGTCTTGGGCTTAAGGTTAAGAAGTTAAATGAGCGCATTGTAAGTAAGCTAGCTAATAGTAGCGAAACCATTATAGATCGATACGTTGAGGGGGTACAAGTATACTTTCGGCTAGAGGCAGAGGGGAAGGTGGAACGCGTTCTCCACTCTCTGACTTTCTTGGTGGAGGATAACTTGCCCTTTGATGTGTTGTTAGGAATGGATTGGGGCGAGGCTGCACATGCGGATCTAAAGTTAAGGGAACATGAATGTTGGCTTCCAAGTCCTCAAGGAGGTAAGAAGAAAATCCGCCTCTATCATGAATCTGGAAAGGAAAGCAGCCTAGCTCACTGTTGTACGAGTGCCCCAGCGTTCGCTCGCCATGTTAAGAAACATAACTTGTACGATCAAGTCTTTGTTGCATATGTGCGCCCAGTAAAGGAAGGGGAAACTAAAGAAGAAGTCAGGTCCCAAGAAATTGAGAGGATCCTGAAAGAGTTCTCAGATGTGGCTGAAGCCCCAAGCGGTGTGGTGGAAAGACCAATCCGCCACTGCATTGATATCCTTCCAGGGAGCGCACCCCCGAAGGGGCCTATCTATCGTATGTCGCCCCAGGAATTGGATGAATTGCGAACCCAACTCGATGAGTTGCTGAAAAATGGTTAGATAAGACCTAGCTCCTCGCCCTATGGTGCGCCTGTGCTCTTTGTGCCTAAGAAAGACGGCGGCGTTCGCATGTGTATAGACTATAGGAGATTAAATGATATAACCGTAAAGAATGCCGAACCATTACCGCGAATAGACGATTTGCTGGATCGCGTGCAGGGTTGCAAAATCTTTTCAAAGATTGATCTGAAATCCGGCTACCATCAGATTGAGGTTGAGCCAGAAGACCAACATAAGGCTGCCTTTAGGACAAGGTATGGGCATTATGAGTTTATAGTTTTGCCCTTTGGTCTCACGAATGCCCCTGCCACTTTCCAAAGGGCAGTGAACGAACTATTTCGTGAGTGGCTTGACAAGTTTGTTGTGATTTATCTAGATGATATTTTGATTTTTAGTAAAGATGAAAAAGAACATGCTGAGCACCTTCGACTTGTGCTAAATAAACTACGAGAAGCAAAACTCAAGATAAACCCAAAGAAGTGTGAATGGGCTAAGCGTCAGGTTTTATACCTAGGACATGTGATTGATTGAGATGGGGTCAAACCGGAAGATGCCAAAATAGCAGCCATCAGAGATTGGCCGAACCCCCGCACCTTGACTGAGTTGCGGTCGTTCCTTGGGTTAGCCAACTACCATCGCAAGTTCGCAAGGCACTTTACGATAATAGTTGCTCCCCTTCGCCGGTTACTTAAGAAAGAAGTAATTTGGAAGTGGGATTGAGACTGCACTATGTCTTTCAAGCGTCTGAAAAAATGTTTGATCAACTACCCGGTTTTGAAAGTGGCGGACACTTCCTTGCCTTTTGTGGTCACAACCGACGCTAGTCAATATGGTATAGGTGCTGTACTCCAGCAAGATGATGGGCATGGATACAGGCCTGTAGAGTTTATGTCTTGCCGATTACCTAACGAGAAGGTGGCCGCTTCCACGTATGAAAGGGAGTTGTATGCTCTACGAGAGGCTCTCAATCATTGGCGACACTACCTTCTGGGACGACATTTTAAGGTGTACTCTGACCATGAAACACTTCGTTGGCTTAAAACGCAGGCGCGAATGACACCTAAGTTGACAAGGTGGGCTGCGGAAATTGATATGTTTGATTTTGAGTTGAAGCCAGTAAAGGGTAAATATAACGTTGTTAATGATGCACTAAGTCGTAGATCAGACTTTTTCGGTGCTATTGTGACTTATTTAGATGTGGGTACTGACCTAGAGGAGAAGATTAGGAATGCGTATTCCTCTGATCCTGTTTATGGAACCATGATTAAGCTAGTGCAAGAAAAGCCAACAGAGTTTCCCGATCATAAAGTAACCCAGGGTCTATTGTTTGAACGAACTAATGTAAATGATAGGCTGTGTATACCTAATAATGAAGAGATTAAAAGTATGATCTTGGGGGAATGCCATGATATAGAAGGCCATTTTGGGTGGAAGAAGACCTATGGGACCTTGTTGCCACACCTGACCTCGAATGAAAGCAGACTGTATCGCATATGTGCAAGGTTGTCAAGTATGCCAACGAAACAAAGGCACCACGCAATCGCCCCTTGGGCTACTTAAGCCCTTGCCTATCCCTACAGGCCCTGGATACTCTGTCTCTATAGATTTCATGGATACTAAAGTCAAAAGCAGGAATGGGAAAACGCAAGTGATGGTCATAGTGGATAGATTCACTAAGTATGCTGTTTTTGTAGCTTTGCCTGCGGAAGCAAAGACTGATTTGGTAATTCGAGAATTCTTTAACCATTGGGTAAAAGACTTTGGACATCCCTTAACTATTGTGAGTGACAGAGATACCAGGTTCACGAGTGAACAATGGCAGCAACTGATGAATGTATATGGCTCTAAGTTGACTATGTCATCAGGCAGACATCTTGAGACTAATGGCCAGACTGAGCAGATGAACAAGATTTTGCAGCAAACTTTACGCATGTACATCCGTCCCGATCAGATTGACTGGGATGAACATCTGCCTAAAGTTGCTAGTGCCTATAATAACTCTGTATACTTATCTACGTGTAAGACTCTTATGGAGTTACATTTGGGATGGCGTCCACGTAGACCCATTGATCAATTGAACCCGGGTCAAGTACATAAGCTTCCTATAGGGACTAGTGAATTTGCAGTCCAATATCAAAAAGACATTGAGAAAGTAAAAGAAAATATACTCAAAGCACAGCATCAGATGATTGAACAGGCAAATAAACACAGACGCCCGTCTCAATTTGCTGTAGGAGATTTGGTTTGGGTGAAGTCTAAAGAGTTTGCTCCTGAAGAAAACATCTCTCAGAAGCTTCTACCCACCTACAGAGGACCTTGGAAGGTTTTAGATGTAATTGGAGATGTGGATGGTCCTTCTTATGTCATTGAGATTCCTCCACATCTACGTACGTATCCAGTGTTCCATGCGTCCAAGCTCTTACCTTGTGTAACAAATGAGCTCTTTCCCAGTCGCCGATCAGCGATACCTCCAAGTATGGATGGGAAGTACGACGTGGATAAAATTGTTGCAGAAAGTACTTACCACACTGGACGTAGGGGCAGACCACAGCGGCAGTATAAGGTGAGGTTTGCATACCAGGATTCTAGTGAAGATCGCTGGTTTACAAGAGAAGAACTGTTAGATTCTGCACCTCATATTGTGTCTGCATACGAAAGCGCAAAGAGAGGAATTCGTATCCTTGATAGGTAAATGATTCTCAAAGGACTTCGAATTTAGGCCGGCGAGAGTAAAAGGGCCTTTACCCGATATAGGCCTCAGGCCTTGTAAAAGAAAAACAGCACGGGCCTTGTAAAAGTAAAGCATTGTGAAAAGGTATCTCG